TTAGCCATTACACTGATATGATGGCTTTTTGGAAATGATACTGATATCCAAAGTAGTAGTTGGTTATAGACTAATCAGAAGTAATCAATCACCATATTTCAGGGAAATTTCCTTAAATACCAAAATATTATTGATGTCAATCCTGCTAGACCACCTGCTTCATTCATAGGAACACAACTCAAAGTGCAAAATGAAAAGTTATGATTCAATGTCTGCCTGTTGCGTCCAGATTCAATGTTCAAGCCACTGAGCAATGTCTCTTATGATAGATACTACCTTCACCCCTAATATCTATATATTTACTCAATATATTTTCATTTGTTGGGAAAAAGATGTCTTATCTACTACTGTTTTGAGGCTCAACAATTATTCACTTATCTTTGGTCAAATCCGGAGTTTTTGAGTCTCTGATCCCCATAGGTTTCCAAATACATAGCTTTTCTCAGTTGGCTACGTATAGGTCTTTTTGTGGGGTAGTAGCAAAAGCAGATAGTTTATCTTCTTTCTCGACAACATCTTGGATTTGTCAGCTAAGTTCTATTCCACATCAACTATGTTCAGCTTTTATCCTCTTCTCAGGGAACTCAAATCCTAGAGCATGTAGGTAAGTAGCTACAGGAATAAAGATATGCGAGGAAGATACACTTGAACCCTAGAATAGCTGTACCATTAAAGATCAAACTGGAAGAGACCCATCCATAGTGCGTCGCACAGATCAAGCTACGAGTGGAGGAGAACATTGCCGTCATTTTCTTGAGGATTGTGTCAGTACTAGACCCCCTTCACCTTGCCTTCTGTAGCAGAACGAACCCTAGTGTATTCTCCACTAACTGCAGCTTTTGTCTTGCATGGAAAGAATTCCTGGCCGTCACTGTCCTTTCTGCGTGAAAATGACAAAGGGGCTCTCTCTGGTCTCAATTCAAGGGTTCTATGCATGTACAAGAAGATGCACTATGTGAGAAATGTTCCATGTGTTGATAAGACCTTGAGAAGATATGATAGGGAATATTTCTCCGGTTGCATCATAACTCGACAAATATTGTGTGAATCAAAGGAATGTGTATCCTTCACCAGCCGGAGACAAAGTCGACTTTGTTTAGTATGTAATAGAGGATTTGATCACCTACTTTCTGTATCTCAGGAGGCATGCTGTCTTATATCTCTTATGATCTTAAAGCTTCCACCTTACCCAGACAAAGATCTCTATAGCTTCTACTTAAAATCTCTCTTTGGGATCTTCATGAAAATATACCTTGTCATATGTTATTGTTCATCACTTCATTGGCATCCCTGATACAAGCGGATCAGTATTTTTGGCAGTCATACAGTAGAATTCCCCAGTCTCCTGGAAAAACACAGGTACTTCTGGAAATCATACCCTAGACTCTGCAGCTACAAATATACATTCTACATTTTGCATTAGGGATCTATGCTATCTGACAATAGTGTTATTGGTATTATGATTAGTTCTCTCTTACATACTAGCAATTACTTGAAACATTGATATATAAATTGAAGCCAACTTTTACCTCTACTAATAGAATATTTAAAGTTGCTCAATTATTTCAGTTATAAAGCAATCACAATAAGAAAAGAGGTCATGTGCTATGTTTATATAAATCTCATCAGTCTAAATATCTGTCTTTGGCATGCAAAAGCAAGAGGAATGATTCATTATTTTCTCTTTCTAAATGGATATATATGACAACAAAATTCATGAAGAAATCTTTATTTAGTTCCCTGAGAAGTAAAAGAATGGAATATTAATGTAAATCAAGTGAAATTGTTGTTTCTTAAGTTAACTCTTATATGGCTGTTTTCTATGTAAAATCTCATAGTTATTTACAGTATAAGATATTGGTCTTCCAGCATAAAATCAACAATTGAGAGGTACAAGAAGGCATGTGCTGATAGTTCAAATTCAGATGCCATTGTAGATGTCAATTCCCAAGTAAGACTTTGTGGCCTTCTCTCTTCTTTTAGAATTATCATAAATTTGTTATGCTTAAAAGCCTTAACTTGTCTTGCCTCATGGTTTTCGACATCGGAGAATTATGAATATTTTTTCAACCTTCCTGTTTTTTATGGTTGTAAATTATATATGCATATAGTGAATTCCAGCTGAACCCATAAGGGAAACCTAATCCTATGAGTAAATGAAGAATCTAATGTACTCTAACAAGCCACAATCTAATGTACCAAATTGTTTTATGATTCTTTGAAAGAAAGATAAATAGTAAAGATTATGTTGGTGCCATGAATTCTAAACCCAAAAATTCCATCTCAAAAAGTTATTTATCCTTTAGATACTTGTGCTACATATGTTCCACTTTTAAGCCAAGAGGACTGTACTACTGCTTGACAATTGTGGATAATGCTTTTTAAAGATGCAACAAAGTAGCACATCATTAATTGTGCCAATCACATAAGCAACGGTAGTTCCAAGAACATGATTCCACAGATGCTGGTGAATGCCAGATTCTAAGAGATTGAAGATTACAGATATAAGTTCCTAGTCATCTCATCTCATCTCATCTCATCCTTTTATTTCCTTTAAGGCTATTGTTTGACCTATTTGGAGGTTTGTATTGCCAATGCAGCACTATTATCAGCAAGAATCTGCAAAACTGCGCCACCAGATCCAAATATTACAAAATGGAAACCGGTATGGTACCATCTTATCTCATGACATAAAGTGAAACTTAGGTTAGACAAGCTCACTTCTCTCTCTTGCAAAATGATGTTGGATCTATCTAGTTCCAATTTGATTATTTCTTTTCCCAGGAACTTAATGGGTGACTCTCTAAGTTCTCTAAGTGTCAAGGAGCTTAAGCAACTAGAAAACCGACTCGAAAGAAGCATCACAAGGATCAGATCAAAAAAGGTAATTTGGCTATTATTGAAAAGGAAGTTGATGTGCCATTCTTAGCTTCTAATTTCTGCATCCTGTTGTCTTGAATCACTCAGCAAATCTGACACAACTTCTACTCTGCATGATCAACTATAAGTAAATAACCCAAGAAACTATTATGAGGTGTTGAGTGGGTTAGTCGAAGTATGTATATATTCAAACTGGTCCCTGACTTAAACTGTTTCCTTTCATGAAGCATGAGTTGCTGTTTGCAGAAATTGAGTATATGCAGAAAAGGGTAAGCATCAATTATCACTTCTAAAACCCCCCATTGTGGCCTTGCATCTGTTTCTTGCAGATCTTTGATTCAGTAGATTAATTCTCTTTTGTAATTGCAGGAATCGGAGCTACAAAGTGACAATTCCTACCTGAGAGCCAAGGTAATATTCACAAACTAAAGCACAACCTTCCTTAGCGGATAAACACTCTGAAGTGGCTGTTTAAATTTATGAATATGAAGGTAGGTCCAACATGAAAGAAAATTTGTGATACTATTGTCTTCTAGGGTAATTTGGATAGGTAGTGTTAGGAAGTTCAGGAACTTCCTATGGCATCAGTATAAACAGCAGCTACAATGGAGTATAAATATCATACAGGTTAGTTTTGGTGCACTACCTATCAACCCCCCAAAATGCTGCAAAATCTTATTGTTACCAACTCTATTCGGAACATTTTGTCATATAACATCTTTTATATCTCAGTTTCTCTAAACAATTAGTTCTAACTTAAATCTCCTTCCAGTAGCATGATTTATCACCTGTTCATGTTATTATCTGCCTTCAAGCAAGTATCTGTAACTTCATGATCGAAACCGAAACCGGTTATTCTGCTTTGCGAGTACTAGTAGTTTCCTCTATCTGAAATCAGAAATCTACCAACTGATGTTCTCCAATGTTGTATCTATCATCTTCTATTGCTGATCATCCATCTGAATGATCTACAAATATGAATATGAGGATGAAGTGGTTCTTGCTCTTTCAAAGCTGACCTGATTCTTGAACTTAATTCAGATAGCAGAGAATGAACGAGCGCAGCAGCTAAGCATTATGCAAGCGGGGACCGAGTATTATACTCTTCCAACGTTTGATCCCAGGAACTACTACCACACAAATATGTTGGAGGCAGCAGCCGATTACTCGCATCACCAAGACCAAACAACTCTCCATCTTGGCTATGACACTAAAACTGATTCTGCTGCATGAAGTTAATTCTTATGGAATAGCTTCCTTGTTGTTATGAGGTGTTCATGGAGATATATCAGAAGTCAGAATTATCTTTGACAAACTGTCTTTCTTGAGATCCTGTTGCTTACTACTACATGTCTTGACATAAATCATATCAACTGTATTAGATGGCAGTTGCAGATGACTTTGAAAAGCTTTTCCATCTTTCATTCTCTCTCTCTCTCTCTCTCTCTCTCTCTCTCTCTCTTATATATATATATAGGAAGCAAAAGTTATAGTACATTTGCATGCATCAATAATGTGGGAAAAAAATTATAGTACATAAAATGTAATAGAAAATTCAAAATGAAAGCAAGCTGACAAGCATCTGTAACCCGCTAATTATTTTTAGGAATTATCGACCTGTATTAATTACTACAACTGCGATGCACGTCCATCATGCATCAATCACCATTCATTTCATCCTCGTGCGTTATGGAGTTCCAATAGATCTTCAGTATGCATCAACTGGAAACCCATCAATGAGTATATCATATGGTGAGTGAAACTCAAAATAAATACAAATACTGTAAAATAAAAAAAAAACAATTAATTTATGAATCAATAGCTAAAACTTATAAACAGGTCATTGGTTGGGTCACTTGATCATATGGGCTGATCAAATCAAAGCCCTTATAGAGTACTTGGATCGGACTTGTGGGCTGAGTCTCATGGGCTACTCTTACGCTGGTCTTATTGATCCGTTTTAGAACACTGCTGGATTTGCCTTTTATGTCCCATGTACCGGCCCGATTTGGGCTGACGCCCGAATTGAGCCCGGTCTGCTCTAGTCCACTGGCCTATCTGGTCTGTGGTGGGTTATAAACCCGCCTCGACAAACCGCCTGGCGGAAACCCAAGCTGCGCCGAAGGCTCCCTCCCGTATGGAGGACGACGAGAACGCGGTGAAGGCCTCAGAAGTTGTCGCGGCGGCGAACGAAGAAGCAACGGAGATGGAGGAGAGAGTCGGAGGCGGCGGCGGGGGGCGAGGAGGGGAGGAGGAGGCGGAGGATGATGTGGAAGGCGAGGAGGAGGAGGACGAGGAGGACGAGGACGAGGAGGAGGACGACGAGGGTTACACGTTGCGTTTTGATGGCGACACGGATCCCTTGGGCTTGGTCCAAGAGGACAACCACGGTGTCGATCTCTACCAGCAGTTCGAGCGGCTCGAGTACGAAGCCCTCGCCGAGAGAAAGCGCAAGGCCGTCAGCCAAAAAGAACCACCGTAAAGGCCAATCTTTTTTTCCTTTTTTTTAATTCCTTGTGCTTCCGAGGAAGGAGCAAGTTTTCTTTTTATGAAAGGTATTGTTCACTTTTTTCTTATTGATTAATTAATTTTGGTAGTGGCGAGTCTGCGAAGAAACCCAGGCGGGAGGATGTTTTAGGCGTCACCATGGAGGAGATCAATGAGCTAATGAATTTTGGTCGCCGGAGAAGATCAAGAGCCGTACGCTTTCTTTCTTGATCTTATCTAGAATTTTTGTTCCTTTGCTCGTTCACCCTCATGGTCAACTGAGGCCGTGAACTAATTGCTGTGACATGGATTTAGTTGGAGAAAATATGCATGACATACTTGTTTTTCAGTTCTTGGATGATTTATGCTGCATGTTTTTAACTTTTTGCTCGCTGAAACTTGTCTATATGTCATAATTAATGCTTAAGACACACATTGTAATGATTGTTTAAGTAGACCTTAATTTAACACTATGGGATTCCTATGTTTACAAGTAGTAGAATCTGCATAACATTCTTACCTTCTCATGTGCACTTTTTGTGATATTGCTTGTTGAGACATTTGATTTGGTTATTAGCAGTCAAAGAAAAGGGGAAGAAAAAGGGGATCAAAGAAAAAACTTAGCCCTGAGGTTTCTAGAAGAATTGGGGATGCTACTCTCTATTACACATCTGGGGATTATGATGAGGTGAGTTTTTAAGACAATTTTGTCAACCAAATATCTTTTGGTTAATCTTGTGATCACAAAAAATAACATTACATTTTCCATTGTTTGAATTTCTGCTGGTGACATACTTATATAACTGCTAATATGTATTCATGTGCATTATGTACATATACCTTATACACAGTGTGCCTTCATGTGTGTGTATTGCTGGTTTTCCGCTGGTTAGATGTCACTCGTTCCTATGTTCAGGGTCATATAGTTTCTCTTCTTGATTTGAACAGCGCTGGAAAGAATGTCCAAATATGAGACAATTAAGATCCACATATTTGTGGCAGCATAACTTCATTGTTGTTGAGAGGCAAACCAGACTATATATTAGTCATCTTATGCTGATTTGACAATGGTCTATTTGTAAGTAACTAAGTTTAACATCTGAGTTCTCAACATCAAAATGCTTTATGAACTATTCTTTGCTGAGTTAGGTTGGTTTGTTTTATGTCTTGATTGAAACCATGCTGTGTTTTTGTTGTTTTTGTTGTATTGAAACCAATGATTTTGTCAATCATTTGGTCTTAGAACATCTCTTCTTGCTTACTACAGGACATATTTAGCCAACACCTATCCGTATGCCCTTTGCAGTGTCATGAGCTTGGATCACTTGCCTTATTCATTAGGCCCTAACCAACTAGAACCTTGTGTAGATTGACCTGGACTAACCTTTCTGCATGGTATTGAGGATCAGTCTTCACTGTGAGCTAGTTGCATCATGCTGTTTTAGCATGCACCATAATTTTCAGTCCTATTGCAATTAAACTGCTCTTGTTGAGTTTGTCATTAATTTTTGTATAGTGGAGCAATCCTTTTCTTATTAGGATCAGTAACTCCAATCAGCTCGTGGAGTTTCATGGTGTTATATATGTAATGTTAAAATAAAACCATGAAGACCATTTGGACTTCTCAAATATTCACTTTTTTTTCCCCTACAGAGGATGTATCTCTATGCCTGTGTTCAGGTGATAGGAAGGAATTGCTGACTGGCATATCTCACTGCACTAGTCCTTTAGTCCTTTCCATCTTGCTCTAAAGTGTACAAAATCAGTATATGATTATCTGCAGTAACAAGTAGATTGACTTAAAATTTTTTTGGCAATAATGTAATTATAATAAATTTTGCCAAAAATTTTGGCGTATATCTTTTTACTTATCATGAATCTTCAAGGTGCTGCATGGTGCTAGGCTCCAATGGGAAATAGGGCTCAGAGAACATGAAGTTGCTGAAAATAACAGGCATCTTACATAAACCCTGCAAGATTTTAGCCAATAGTTTTTGTTCTATTCTTAAGCTTGCACAATATGTTTCAATTTTTTTTCTAAAAAGAAAACCATACCATTAACCGGTCATCTGAATGTTGCTTACATAGCCATGTTGCAAAAACTGTTGAATTCAACTTCCCAGATCTGGGTTGAATTCCGAACACGCCCAAAATTAGCTAACAGAGGTTCCAGCCTATTTGTCTTCCCTCATATAATTGATCATTAAAACACCTACATCTTATGAAGCAATTGAATATCAGCAACAACATCTCTAGGGTAACAGGAGGTATTGTAATGTTCATGTATTTCTTGTTAATGCATGACTGATTGGTTCAATTCATTGAAGCCACTTATTTGGAAACTGTGGTATGCTGACCAGGTTTTATGGCATTGGGCACTTGTACTATGGCATTTCTTTTAATTACTTTTTGAATTTCTAGTATCCATCAAGTGACTTGTTTTTCCACACTATGGACTATGGATTTCAATTTGATATTGATGTTATTCTCATAACAGGCAATTCCTTTGTTGCAAGAAGTTGTGCGGCTTGCACCCAATCTTTCTGATGCATATTATATACTTGGTCTAATATATGATGCCAAAGGTGACAGGGGGAAAGCTCTAAACTTTCACATGATAGCTGCACATTTATCACCCAAGGATCCATCTTTATGGAAAAAGCTTGTTGCATGGTCAATGTGAGCTCTCTTAGATCTCGGATTCTTGCAGTTATTGGTTCTTTTTTTTTTAATGTTTCTACTGGTAGTTCTTTTGATCTACAAAATGCTGACTATCAGTATCTAGATTGTTTATATTGGAAAGCAGCAACTGATTTCTACTGCTTCTTTAAAGCCATCATGTTTTGTTGTTTGCACTTTGCACATCTTTTAAGCGAAACACTTCTTGCGGTGTTACTTTCTGGGTGAGGAAAATCCACCTAATGTAGCAATTTCGCGTATCCTAAATCTAAGACTTTGAGATCTACAGAACTTTGTCATCGTAAGGTCCATTTACTTCTATTTCTACCTTCAGGCTTGTCTCTGTAAGACATGTGATATCACAAGGATAAGGCATTGAAGATGGAAGGTGTCTTGTATAGGCTATGCCCCATGGCTTAATAAGATTTCAAGTCCACTGTTCTTTATGAACATGTCCCAAGGACTGGTATGTGCAAAACCATCATGCACTGGCATGGACCAACACAGAAAGGCATGACTTGTTTCATGAACTACATTGGCAGCTCGTGTAAAATTCTCTGCGTCATGGTATCCTGCCAGGATAAGTGCCAATTGCTAACAGGCACACTAGCATGGCTATCCTAGCTCGTACTTGTAATCTATTTGATGCTGAATAACTTTGTGACCTGCTCTCCACATACTTACATTGTTTTGCCAATGCAGTGAACAGAAAAATACTGGTCAGATTAAGTATTGTCTTAAAAAGGCAATAACTGCAGATCCAAAAGATGTGGGTCTCAGGTTCGACCTTGCTTTGTTGTACTGTGAACTTGGCGAGTACCAAAAAGCTGCAGAATCATATGATCAGATCATTGGGATATATCCTGCTAACATTCAAGCACTCAAAATGGCTGCAAAGGTTTCACTTTTTTTGCTTTCATTTCTTCTTATATAGCTTTCCAAATTCTAGATGAGTTTCTCTCTTTTTGCATCATAGAAACTCTCAAGTAGTCATATTGATATGTTAAAAAAAATATGCATGGTTACCACTTGGTGCTTCCTCTGGCATCTCATACCGGAATCTTATGACTATGTACTTTGCCCGATCAGAAATATGGGCATGGAATGCAACACTGAACCATGCATAGTTCTTGTGCTCTCCAGGCATGATACTGCATGCCTGAACATCCCAGTATGACTGTGCATGGACAAACCATGGGAATACCTTTGTCATAATTTGTTTCCTTACATACTGTATGCATTTGCTTTAGAAACAGTTGCTGCCAGTCCTACAAATTTCAGGCTAGTAATCTTTTTATTTACGTTGACAAAAGTTGCTTGACATGTCAGAAGAAAATTATTGATTTTAAAACATAACCAGGAAAGATTTCCAGGCCTATGTTAGGTTTTCTGGTGTGCTCTTCTCTCATTTAGATCCTGAGGGGCTTGGATCTGGCTAAGTGGTTACAAGTTGGATTCTGGTGCATTGACTTTTACTTTCATCTATCACCATTCTGATTTGGTTTAAGGACCGGTGTTTTCCTGTAGATCATATTTCAATATACCAAGTGCATATCAACCTATCTTTCCAATAGTAGAGCATAATTATCTTGTCCTTTGGTCAAAGTTCATTTTATTGCTTTAGAAGAAAAATAACTCATTCTTTTACTTACATCTCCTGATAATGATAGTTGAGAATCGAGACTTCAGTACATGTAAGTGCTTCGAGCTGATGCTTTAGAGTCCAGTTTCAATTGTTTTGGCTAATTTCTTAAAAATTTTAGCTTAAAAATGTGTTACTGTCTTGATTCGTTATGGATAGATACTGTAATTGTCACTTATATCTTGATGTTTATGTAATCTTTACTTCTGAGTTTGCTCCTATTTTGCTTCTTTTATTTCAGATGTACCAGAAGTGTGGTCTAGTTGAGCGGGCTATTAAGATTTTGGAGGATCATGTTAACAGTCATGTTGAATGTGATAATAGTGTTATTAACCTGCTAATTGCATTGTACATAGAAAATGGCTCACATATGGAAGCACTTAAGCTTATTGAACGTGCATGCTCAATCTGTGGCCTGGGAAAGAAAAATCTGTTATATCTGAAAGTGAAAGAGGCAGTCTGTCATGCTCAACTTGGAAATATGCAACATGCTGAGGTTTGTAGTTAGCCACCTTACACCAGAGTTATAATTTTAAATGTATTTATATGCTGCAGATTAATTCTTTCCCCGGTTCAGATTATCTGTATTCATGCTTCAAACATGACACCATGTTATGTTTCATTTTATTATGGTTAGTAGTTGCTACTTATAGCTTGTCTTTGCAAATTTGATATAATCAATTACAGTTATGGTTCCCTGTACTCATAGGACAAGATGTATGTATATACATACATACATACATACATCCCCTTACACAGCTCATGGTGGGAAATGATCCACATAGCCTTACCCAAATAGTTGGTACGTTATGGCTTTTGCCTCCATCACCCTAAAATCATTGTTTCTTTTACAGGTTCTGCTTAAGGAACTGCCAATGGATCGTTGTGCAGATAATGGAGATTTGATTATTGAAGCTGCAGACTCATTTTTGAGTCTCGGGCAATATCAGTTTGCAGTTGAATTTTACTCCATGCTGGAAGATGTTCCTAATCATGACAATGTAAGGTATTCTATGCCATATTTGTTCCTCCAATTTTTGTTTTATAACTATGATGATAGTGACTTCATTTTTGGCCAGTCTCTAATCCAAACAAAAGAGCAGTGCCTTTGTGGCATGGGCTCCCTTCAGAGCCTTTCTTAGTATAGCATAAGTGTTTATGCATTGTTATTGGCCACTTCTGTTATCATGTGTGCAAAGAATTGTTAATTCTTAAAATGTTTACCACTTCATGCTCTATCTAGTTTCTCTAATTATCACTGCACAACCAAAGAAGATCATGATACTCCACAGTGTGTTCCAGTTAAATGACCATTTATTCCCAAACAAACAGGCTCAAAGCCACCAATTCATGTTGGATCATGCTACCTTCTTGTTGAGCCGTGCTAGTTAAGTAAAAATGGAGAAACAATATTTCCTGATACTCCATTTGACCTTGGTTCATTTTTCTTTATTTCTTTTTCAAATAATTTGTTCTAATTTCTTTCTGCCTTGACATGTACGTTGCCCCTAGTAATGAAAGCATTATTGTTCCCTCTTATCCTGTTCGTGCTCAGGAAGAATTTTGGAGTTGTGCTCATGCTGAATGAACTAAAATTGTAACTATTGAATTTGGCTTTTTCAACTGTTAACTTGCTTATTAGTTTTTTCTGTTAAATGACAAATCATTTATTGTCTAAATTTTTACCTTGGCTAGGAACCAGCTCTATCTTTGGAGGATTGATGAAAGGTTTGATAATTGTATGAATTAGCACAACATTTTTTAAAAAGTCCATTCTTCATATGTTAGAAGATAACAATGAAAAATCTACACAATTAGGAATTTAGGAATAATCCATATCAGTTAATTAGTGTAAATTACATGTTATTTTGTTCATTATTAGCCATTCATGGTCTCAGTTTTAATTTTTATAAGGCAAGGTGTTGTTTTTTTTTTTTCGCCAAAAGAGTGCTAATAATTTTTTTCTGCTCCAAACATGATCTTTGGTAATATTTTTCTTGTATTTTGAGTTTTGCAGGGGAACTTACACCTAAAAATTGCTCAATGTTTCTTATCCATGGAGCAACGAGGAAAAGCTATAGCATTCTACTATAAAGGTTACATTTAGCCCATGTAATATCTATAAAATGGTTGTTCTAATTGTTATAAGTAACCATCTAATCTGCTGTAAATAACTTATTTGGTTTGTCTAGAAGTGTTTATTATTGCGTTGAGTCAAATATTTCTTTTTAGAAGATTGTGCCGTTGCATACTTCATTTTTTTTTTATACATGAAGAAAACAAAGATTAAAATCTCGATCGGTCCGACATGATTCAGTTGGTATTTACTCGTCCGACCGCCAACCGGTTTGCAGACTGAGAGGTTTGGTCCGATCAATGTATGTATTATACTTAGGGTAACATGATGCAAATTCCTCATGCATGCGATGATTTTGCATGGCGACCGCTCTCACTCGCTGCATGAGGTATTTCCTCATGCAAATTCCTGATTCCTTCTCCTCCCTCTTCTTCTCTTTACTACTTGCCCCTCTTCTTCCCTATTGTTGTCTCCTCCTCCTCACTGTCACTTCCCTCCTCTTCCTTCTTCTCCTTTGTGACAACTCTCCTCCCAACCGATAGCCACCAAGCCTCCTCAGACCTTGACAATCTCCTGCCCAATTCCTCCTCCCTCTTCTCATTAATTATGTTTAAATTTTAATATTTGTGAGCACCTTGCATCGCTAGGGTGAGTGCCTAGCGCTTTTCAAAACACTGGTCATAGGATTAACTGTCTTGCTAATTTGTGTGGCCTTCTCTATTGCACGCTTACAAATTTTGGTTGTTCACATTCACATACTACTTGTTGGATAAATTAAAGGCATGGGATTTTCAATAGAAGGGAAACTTCATTGCAACCAACAAGAATTTACAACTCGATGTTGTGGCACAAGTCCCAAGAGTAGGGAAAGAGGAAACCATCATTGAAAAACTTTGCATGGGAGTGAAGTGGCTGGTTTAATTTAATGCCCATTTCCTAGGTACTCTCTAGGAGGAACATCCTCTATGTACCAATCACTCGAGCGTTAGTAAGTGCTAAGATGGCTGACATTTTAATTTAATGGCATTCATGTCTTACATCAGTTTTCAGCCCATAACAAGACAAATCTTGCTGTTGCTCAGCATAATGCATTGCAACATAGTGCAACTGAGATTGTACAAGATTGTTTTGTGCATATTTTACATGTTTGTTAAAGACCATTTCTACCTAAACACTATGACATTTGTGCAGTTCAATTAGGAAAAATAACTGGCAGCAGAATATCTCTAGCTAGATTTCTTGTGGGATACATGAACTAGCACTTGTGTAACTTATGTTTGTAAATGTTGGTATACATATACGTTTCTTGTTCATTATATTTATATTTTCAACTGAAAAAGGCAGTTATCATTTTACTTTCTTATCATAATCTCAGTGTTTCTTCTCTAGTCATGTAGTCTTGGCGAAGTGATGTTTTTGTACTTTAATACGCTTTAACATGCTAAACCTCCTTTCGATGGAAATATTCCAAATGGTTTATTGATATGGTTACTTATTTTGAAGACCTCTGCAGTCAGATATTCGAACTGGAAATTTCCAATTCATGTCTAAACGTTGCATCTTTGTTTGAAATTAAAAATTATGGAGAAGGCTATACTCGTGAATCTCAGTATTCATGCTTTGAATATGATTGAAACCTTCTTTCATTTTTAATCAACACGCTTCATCTAATCATTTATCCATGTTTCTTTTTGGTTGGTCTTTACTTGTTTCTATAGCAGCTATGTTGCAGTAATTTTTACCCTCCTTTTTTTTCTGCTGGTGTGAACTATTAATCATGATTTTCTTTATCACAGAGTTCATACTTTCTCCTTGAAAAGAGCTGTCATTTATGCCTGTTAGTTTTAATTTTTTTCTTTCTAGTGTATGCTCAAGGTTTTCAAATTATTCTTTTCTCAGCAATTTGTTTCTATGGCTTGTTTCAGCTTTATCTAAAATTGAGAATGATGTCGATGCCCGTATCATCCTATCTTCTCTTCTTCTTGAAGAAGGAAAAGATCAGGAAACGATTAATCTGCTTTCCCCTCCAAAGGTTTCAGGTAAGTGCATGATTATCCTTTCATCTGGTTACTATACGGTTGTACAGATTGGCAGCTTCTTTAATTGTTTCTATATTTTGTATTACTCTTCAGCACAATTGCCCAATTTAAATTCTGCACAAACCAATCCTTGGTGGGAAAATGGGAAGATAAAAATGCAGCTTGCTAAAATCTATCATGCAAAAGGGAAGCTTGAGGATTTTGTTGACACAATCTATTCATATGTTCGCGAAACACTTGTCATAGAGATCATGAATCGAAAGGTATTGTTCTAGGTTACTCAACTAGAAACAGGAAGCTTCTGTTCTTTTCATGATTGACTAGTAGTAAGTCAAGCCCTGCAATCTGATTTTTTTTTCTGGGTTAAATCTTCAAGTCTTTTGCCTGTTTTTATTGTATATTGGAGTTTGCTCGATGTATTAAATCCTTTTTAAATTGCATTTTTTTTGAAGTGGCTCTCAAGTTTGTTTGTGTTAGTTGTAATTAGTTGTCTAAGTAATTGGCCTGCAGATGATAGAAACTTTCTGAAGAATTTCCAACAGATGGTGCACAAATCTAACCATTATGAGTGAAACTTTAGAGCACAATCTATACTGCTAAACCAATCGTTGCACTTAGATTTTTCTCTATATCATAGGAAATTTATCCATCTATCAAAATAATTAGACAGTCACTAATTCTCCACTTCATAAGTTTGTTTCGAAGCCCTAAAATGTAGATGGACGTTCTCTCAGGTAACCTGTAGTGTAAGTTGAAAATATTCTCCAGGTTTTTCTTGGTGTTGAGTAAATAAACCAAAACTTTTGGTAGTCTTGCTTTTCTCAATAAGTACTGCAGCTTTATTTTGTCCTTGACAAGATATTCTGTTCAATATAGTATTCCTAAAAAATCCCAATATAGGATTGGTAAATCGAGTGCAAACCAACTTCTATCTTGTTTTATGTTGTCCCTAGACATGTTGTTTCGGTAAATGTATGGGTACATATGAATATTCATTTCATTTATGTGCACTATGTATTTATTGGTCTTGTTTAAGATTATTTACATATTTGTATAATTATATCATTAAATTTTAGCAATCTCATGCTCTACCATGTGGGTATTCATTCATAATCATATGACTTGATGTTTCTAATTCACAGTATTGTTACTTCCAAGTAGGTACGTCCAGCAAAAAAAATCGCAAAAAGTGTATTATTTGAAAGAGTCAAGTTGTTAGATGATCAACAGGCAGATAACCTATTCCGTGGCTTCAAGCCAGTTGCAAGAATGTCAGAGTTGTAAGTTTCTTTTTCTTCTTTTTAGTTATTATTATTTTCATGTGTATTGCTTGTAGATATTACACTACATAATATTTGTACACAAAATATCAATGGCACGAGGGCATTTGCTATTACAAAATCAAAATAGAAGTTGCCAGTCTGAACTCATCTCTTCATGCCTTCATGCCAAATAGTACAGGCCATACACCATCGAGGATTGATACGTGAAACTAGAAATATTTGTCTTGAAAAGGAGATTTGTAATAGAGATCATATGTTGGTAAAATCCATGATTTCACAAATAGTAACTCGTCGACTAAAGAAAAATAATGTGCTTTATCTGAAAAAATCAGGAAGAAAAATTAAAAATATCCTTTGCCTTACACCTAATACAATTTTCTTCTGTCATCTTGTGAAGAAAGATTAAGAGAAGATAGAGATAATATAGAAAATAATATGACATAACATAAAGAATCATGTAAGTGTTTCATGATTAAAATAGGAAAGAAAATTCCTTCAATTCCAATCACTACAGAAAAGCTTCAATCTCACCTTACCAGATATAATACTCTTATTTTATTCTGTTTTGGCTGCCAGCCGTGCATGCACATACACACCTCCTTTCTCCTAGCACTTTCCACACCATCTGCCATCTAGTCCTAACTTTCCTCTCTTTGGTCATCTTTCTTCCTCTCTCATAATTTCACTTGCTTTTTCTTCTTCTATACAGAAAAGTAATTTCTGTAGATCTTTTATTGTCTTCTGTTAAGGGTCAAAGCAGTTAGAGCAAAGAAGTCCCTTCAAAAACTAGCAGCTCTAAAGGAAGAAAAGAAAGCAGCAACATTGGGTGCTGGGTTAGATTGGCAAAGTGATTCAGATGATGAGATTCCGGTATAATATATATATATATGTATATTGCTCTATTTTATTCACTTGATCTTGTTTCTTCCATGTGATGAGCTTGATATGTAACTTGTCTTAATGATCTAATGCTATTTTCTATAGCGGAAGGCAAAACAAGAACCTCCTCTGCCTGATCTCCTAAAGGATGTGGAGCATCATCAGTTCATTTTAGATGTTGGTACCTTTGTCACCACTTTTTCTTTGTTCTAATTGCTTGACTTTTCTTCTCATGTATGCATCTAGCAAGAAACATGAAGGGATAGTATTCTAGAACTTAGGAACCTTCAATTTCCTTGTTCTCCTCACTAGTAATGATTTCTTAGTACACATTCAGTGGTGACATATCAAAAATTTCATTGTGGCACAGCTGTTAAGGTCGATTTGATTTGTCATCAAAGCACCAAGCATATCAAAAATTCATTTAAAAGAAGCTTGTTAATGTTTTATTGCAGACAAATAGAAACCTATTTTTTGTTGATTAAAAATTTAACGGTCAATTTTTGTAGCCTTATCTGACATGGATCATGTTTTGCATTTGTTTTATGAAAATTGTAATGACTTTCCTAATGATTATTAGGCATTCTTATGTCATGAATTTATTTATATATTGAAAACATTTGTAGCTCTGCAAAGCCTTGGTGTCTGTGCAACGATATTGGGAAGCATTAGAGGTTATCAACCACACTCTGAGATTAGAGTACAACACGATTTCTACTGAGAAAAAAGAGGAGTTTCGATCACTGGGTGCACGTAAGAAGAAATTGTTATTTCATCTCTATATCTGTTTAAACAGTATATTGGATACAGCATTTAGTGTTGTGACAAATTGTTATGCCTTGGTTAAAGAAATTATGTTGAGATCTACTTTAAGTGTTTAGCATACATGTTATGTGAATGGAAAGAGTAATTTCAAAAAACCAGTTACTAATTTTTTTAAAAAAAATATGTATATTGACATTTTTACTCATATGCAGATATTGCATACAGCACTAGAGATCCAAAACATGGTTACAATTATGTAAGATATATAGTTCAACAACATCCGCACAGCATAGCTGCCTGGAATTGCTATTATAAGGTTGTTTCAAGGTAATTATATGTTTTTACACTGGGCTTATATGCTGTTATTACAAGGTTTGCTGAATTTTTCCCCTCTTTCTAGGTTAGAATATCGTTTTTCAAGGCATTTGAAGTTTCTCCACCATATGCGAGTGGAGCTAAAAGATTGTGTAATGCCAATGATAATTTATGGCCATCAATTTACTATGATTAGCCAGCACCAGTCAGCTGCTCGGGAGTATTTGGAAGCTTACAAAGTTCAGCCGAAAAATCCGCTGATAAATTTATGTGTTGGTATGATTTGTGTTGATTGACTTTTCCATCTGGGCAATTTATTGGCACAGCTTATTGTTTATTTTCCTGCAGGCACAGCCTTGATTAATTTAGCGCTGGGGTTTAGGCTTCAGAAAAAGCACTACTGTGTAGCTCAGGGTTTTGCATTTCTTTACAAATATCTGCGCATCTGCAATAACAGTCAGGTTATTGTTCGATAATTCTCCAAATGATTTGTCATGTCATACATGCATTCATCATCGTGAACTGTTCAGCAATGTTCCGTCATTTTTTTTATTGACAACTCATCGTCTTCTTGAAATTTTATTTGATATTCATATTTCCTTGCATCAGAAGTGGAATATTTTTTGTGATAGTTATAATCTACTCCGATTAGGAAATGTTTTGCTCAATGTGCATGCATGCTATGTTATGTTTAGCAACTATCTAGTCAGTATGAATGCCACTTGTAGCTGCTTGTGGCAGTTACTTGTACTGAAACAGGCGAATATGGAGCGTTTAACTCTCATCTGAATTTTAAATTAAAGGAAACATTATTTTCCTATCAGAAAATCATTTAATTGCCACATACATCTAGATCACTTCATCTTACCCAACCATAGCAAAACTTCGTCTTCTTACCCAATAGAACATTGACATGATCCTTTGGGCTACGTTTCAGGAAGCCTTGTACAACATTGCGCGGGCGTATCAGCATGTCGGCCTTGTTACCCTGGCGGCTATTTATTATGAAAAGGTGCTTGCGATGCAAGAGAATGATTACCCCATCCCCAAGCTTCCATATGAAGATTCAAGTGTTCCAGTAACTAGGAAGCCAGGCTATTGTAATCTTCACAGAGAGGCTGCCTATAATTTGCACTTGATTTACAAGAAGAGTGGGGCGACAGATCTTGCCAGACAGCTCTTAAAAAATTATTGTTCTATTTGACTGTATATTGATGCACGACATGATAAAAGTTCCAGAAGATATGCTTTTGTTGCATCAAAGCCTAGCGTGCCAAGATTTGATAAAGTTCCGCATCTGGGAGGTTACAAAAGGTTAAAGCTGGAATCGACTGCCACAGTGATGAATATATCCTCTTCACAAAGTTTTGGTTTGGAATCCATTCGAGTAACATGGAATTGATGTATATTGGTTAATTTCTTTGATACTTGTATTGTTGCTTCAAACCCTTCTTTACAAATCATGGCAAGGCCTCATGTCTACTGCCCACAATATGTAACATCATATTCATAGTTTTATCCAAACCCTATGCATAACTAAAGTAAGTTATCATATTTTTATTTTTATTACTAATATCGATATGAATGTAGTGAGAAATGTATAATTTTAAAATTAAAATATATTAATTATTAAATAAAATGATATGATTTCTCTTGTATATAATATTTTTAATACTTGTACATAGTTTATAATATCTAATAAAAAAATTAAATATAAAATATTTAAAATTTATACTCATATATATAAAATGTGTATTTCTATATCGTATGTTATAATATGTGTGTTTTCACATCGTATATCATAATATATATATTTATTCTTATAATATATATGTGTACTCAACATCGCATATCATAATGCTTATATGTACTCTTATACTACACATCATAGCATATGTATACATTTGTACGTTGTAACATATTCGTGTACTTTCACATGACATGTGATCATATATGTATACAAGATATTTTTATGCTTATAAAATACATACATTCACATTTAGCACATGACAATCATATCATCTGCATGTCATTATATATGCATGCATTCATAATGTTTTTATGTTTACAAAATAATTCACATTTAGCACATGTTTTACAAAATATATTATGCATATGATGATCTATACCATGGTATGCAATACCGAATGGTACCGCCTGGTACGGGCAGTACGTACCGGTCCAACGGCATATCGGTATGCGAACCGCTCGATACCGGACGAAACGTGCTGCAGTGTTACAGTATTGCATTGTAGCAGTGCTACAGTAAAGAAATATATATATATATAACTGTTCGGTACGCCCTGGTGTACCGCTCGGTACGTCGGTACCGTACCGTACCGAGCCAACTTCGAAACACCGGTATGGTATAGTATTACATACCTTGATCTATACGACTATTATTTTATAGCGAATTAAACTTATACTTACTATTTGAACTTGAAAATGATGATGTTAATCGAGTATGCTAGGGAGCAATACACCAATCAAATTAAGAGCATAGGATCATGAGATACATTAATTAAGAACAATATTTTTTGAATCGACGATTTATAATAATTCATAGCAATAATCCATAAAAAAAAAAGTTTGATAAAATCTCCCGTAAGATAAATTATATTTAACCTAAAAATTTATTTAGATTCCACTATCAAATTTTCTAACAATTCATTCAATAATCAAATGAACTAGCCAACATCAATCAAACCATCACACAATTTTACAAAGCAATATTACTTCACTATTATAACTGATTGAATGATCTTGAATTATCATAAAATTTTGTATAAAACTAGAAGATATATAAAACTAAGTACACACCAAAATTCAGCTTAAAACAGAATCATTTGGAGGCTAAACTTATCCTCCTAATTCAATTACCAACACCTATTCCATTCTACCGAAACTAGTTGAGATTATTTGAATTTATAAACCTCATATCTTGGTGCATAGAGGTGATATTTACTCAATTCCAAACCTTTTTAAAACATATCAAAATGTCAGAGTCTAATTATATTCCTAAGAGGATTAATTTAGCTTGAACAATCCCTTCCCGGAAAATAAAAGATTCTAAGTATCTCATATTAAAACAATAATAACTCTGTACCATTCTCAAATTAACGTCGTACTAAAGCCTTAGAACATAGGAGAATCATCTAAAACATATCCAAAAATCAAAGATAAATTTGAAGTCTAGATTACTCAAAACTAGCTAAAAGTTAGAATTTATAAAATCGAAACCCTATGAATAGGAAGGGAGGAGTTGAGTTTTTCTTATCTATTTAGGGCCAGGGATTGATGTTTCCATAAGAGAAGCTAAGAGAATTACATAAAGAAGAAAATAAAAAGTAATAGGTTATCTACCGGATAAAGAGGATTATGTCAAAATTAAGGAAGAGGTGCTTAAGAGGTAGGCTTGAGGTGTTGGGTTCAATCTCATTATGCCTTTTTAAATTTTTTTTCTTCTTTTACTAATATAATATTAATATTATAATAATCTTAATTGAGTTTAATTTAGTTTGACAAAGATGATTTTTTTTATCTAAATTCATTTTCCAATTTTACTTATGTACCTCAACATTTAATATAACACTCTTTTTTTTATTTACATCTTCATTTAATTTTTTATTACTCTATTCATGCTGCTTATTATCCTCTATATACATTATGTTTAAAATTTAATTTTTTTTATTTTAATCACGTTCAAACTCATTCAGATTTACTTAAGGTCGATTAATCATGTTCAAATTATATGCATGCTCATTGCCATAACTTAACCTCATATTCAACTCTGTACATTTTGATTTATTATACTATACTTCATATAAATATTAATGTTTATACATGCTCAATCAATATTATGTAGAATAGTGAGAATGATATTTTTGGAAAGTATATACCTTTGATCTTAAAAGTTGAAAACATGAATATTTTATTTATCATATTTATAAAATATAGACATCACAAATAAATGAGAATAACATTTATATTATTTGTATTTCTATTGATATGTTAATTATAATTTAATATGTATAATATATTATTTTATATTTTATTAATATATTAATTATATTTATATTTTGTATTGATATATTAATTATAATTACTCGAGTGTTACCGTTACAAAATCATAATGTCATGATGCTTCTCTTGAGCTTCCTCCATCTGTACGACATCTTCTGTATATTTAATGACATCCAAGATCACCCTCAAATTCCTCTCTCTCTCTCTCTCTCCTATGTAGTCAGGTACCAATTGCACAGGGCAAAACTCAAAAGTAAAATCAAGATGCCACAAATCTCAGAATTACTTGGGTTTGTTTCAGCTGTTGATGCGGCGATGGAGATGCGGAGTGGCTTTACATTTGCTGTTCCGGGTAAAAGAACCCGTAATATAAAGCAGATGGAGTCAAAAGGATACGCTAAATCTTTCTGTCCGTAACTCGATGCCACCGCACCGCGTACCAGATTGCTTGGCGGTATTATCAGGCTGCTGGATTGTCAGATGCATTATCGGACAACGTCCAATGGTCGACGACAAAGCATCGCAAGCTGCTCAATCCAACCGAGACCACCCATGCCAAGCCTGTGAAGGGAGGTCGGGGCATCATTCTGCAGCAGTGAAACTAGCGACGAACAAAAGATGATGCAGCGGCAGCATAACAGGCCTCGATAAACCCACGGACGATACTTTGACATTAGGAAGAATAGCGGCGTACCATGCTGCTGGTTACATTGTACAAAGCTCGGGTAGGGTAGGGGTAATTCACAAGCCCAAGGCCCTGGACGCGTCCTCCGACTCCCCTTCGGATTCAACCTCCACACCCTCTAAAACAGGACGATCCTTAATCTTGCTGTCGGTGATGTAGCGTTCCAATGCACCGTCTCCACGGAGAATTTTAGCTCCAGAGCCGGGTCTGTCTACAGAGCCAACCGCATCCTCATCTACAACAACTGCATCTATTGGTTCATCTTCGTCTTTGGTCTTTACATCTGGAATCTGAAAGCAAATTGCATTTTGACGAATTAATCACATAAGCAAATCTGAAGCGGCATTCCATGTAAGGATATGGTGTGGTGCAGGTCAATCTCTTAAGTTAAAAGATCGCCAAGAATTAGTCAGAGTACCTCATACATGGCGTCAAGAAGAACAGTTTCCAAAATAGCTCTTAGACCTCGTGCACCAGTGTTCTTTGCCATTGATTTCTTTGCAATCAAACAAAGTGAGGCGTCTGTGAAATGCAGCTTAACCTGGAAGCATAAGTTAAGAAGAACGGCTTTTCCAAAACCAAAATCATCTACATGTGCGCATATACTTACATTGTTCATGCTAAATAATTTCTTATACTGTCGACCAAGAGCATTCTTTGGCTCCATCAAAACCTGAACAAGTTGGTTCTCGCTTAGAGCTGACAAACTAACCAGTACTGGGAAGCGTCCTACAAATTCTGGTACGAGCCCGTAAGCTATAAGATCGCCACTTTCAACCTAAAATAATGACAATCATCTTAGCGAGATCACAATGTTCTGGGGTGAAGAATTACTGAAATCACAATGCTGTAATAAAACAAATTGTTTGGAATTGTTGATGCTTACTGATTCCAACAAAGATGATGTCACAACATCTGTTAACCAACTGGTTCTCATGTTTGCACGAACTGATGCTCCAAAACCTATAGAAGAATCCTGTCGTCTGTTTAAACAATTAAAATTATGGTACGAGAATTGCATGTGCAAGCATCATTAAAAAAGATTTGCAAATGTCTATCTTCATGATACCTTTCTGAAATTGTCTTTTCCAGATTAACAAAAGCACCACCACATATAAAGAGGATATCTTTGGTATCTATCTGTGAAACAAAAGAAAGAATCAATTAGAAAATGAGATTACCAAGATAATGAATCTCCATTCCAATAGATAAATGAAGTTCAAAAGACAAATGAAATACTGAAGAACTTTTAGATTATAGAAGGATTCAAAAGCAAAAGAGAGTCAGATTGCTGACTCCTATCAATTATTTATTTCCATCTGTCACTGCTATAGTAACCTTTCTTGGCTATTCAGTAGCAAGGTGACTTTTCAATTTTGCTCTACAAACAGATCTAAAAAATTAAGCCTTACAGGTTCAATGTAGTCCAAGTAACATAAAAAGGAACACAAATACCACACCTAAAAGCAAGGATACAACTCATTGTTCATATTTAAACACTCAAATTCAAGAAATGCCTAATACCAATAACTCAGTGTTCATATTTCAACGAAGTTGAAAATGTTACTTGGTACCAATAAAGTTGATATGGTTAAGATTTCATGAGATCCTGAAAACTTTGAACATGTGAAGTGAGAAAATATTCCACAATGGTTCCTTTGACAAAAGAACAGCAGAAAGTGAAAGACTATAACTTGGTTTCTCAAGACCTCCAAGCTGCAGGTTTCCTGGTTTCTCCAATATACAGATTTTGTAACTTATATTAGTAAAACTTGTCTACATCCAATGAAGTTCAAAAGATAATGCAGCTCTCTTTCACTTGTACATGAACCCATATTGAATAATATGTTTAATTTTTCATGAACTAGAACCCTGGGCAGCATAACAGACCCAATCAGAAAACTGCATCAATACTGCAAACTCCAAAATATAAGTTAAAAATTAATATGCTGATTAGATTTAAAATCTCAGTTCGATATCACTTTCGACACCTTGTGGTACATTAATGGTAATACCAGGCACTGTACCGATCTATACCTTCCAGTACTGGCCAAGCCAGTATTTGAGATCTTGTGCAATGGCTCTCTGAGACTCCATCAATTGGATTTAGTGACAATACTTAATTGAGTTTAGGATGACATACCACATCATTAGCACCTCAATATGAAATAAGCAATAGCATGACTTCAACAATAAACAATAATGAAGAATTTTATAATCAACAAGATTTTTACAACACAATCACAAGCACTTCAAATTTTACAATATGTCACATCTGTGTACCTGTATATTGTCACCACGAGGGTGCTTTCGAGCCCCATTCTCAGGCACATTGACTATCTGCACAAACAAATATGAAACACTGACCCTTGTAAGAAACCAAAAAGAAGTTCCACATGGTTCCAATACAGAAAGTCAAGGTTGCATGTGCAATAAGACTACCAAATTATCAATGCCTCAGAGCAATTATCTTGTTCATTATCTATGACACATGCATGACATATACCATGATAAGAACAAATTGTCATACAAAAAACGGACACTAAGTAATTTTTAACAACACTGATGAGTTTCAGGACCTCAAGATTTATAACTTTCAGATAATTCTTATGAAAGATAAATCACCATTTGCAATTTAAACAATCAGTTGTTGAGCCCATAACCATCAGTTCAGACTTCACGTGTTTTAAATTGTTACCAGACTAGGTTTAAAACTATATATCATATTTGGTTAAAAAAATTCCAAAAATTACAATGATGAGCTTTGAGTTCGTCTTTCCTTTGGCTATCATATATACACATACATGACCACAAATATCTGAAGATGGTCCTGAATGTATAGAAAACTTCACTGATAATGTCCTCTATTAATACCAAGAATTGGTGACTAAAAAAAGAAAATCAAGTTTTAGCAAGAATAAAACAAGCTAGTACCACAGATGCCCAGAAAGGTTGGAAAAGATACTGACAAGAAGATCAGACAAACAAGTATGTACTGCAACATTGCAAAAACTAAGAAAAAAATCATAAGTTAAAAAAAATGAAAAAACAAGATGTTTAATAATAACATTGAATAATAAATATTTAATAAGTATATAGATCACTTGACCAAAAAAAATTAGAAATTGAAAACATTATTATCTTTTTGCCATGGTTTGTCTTACCTATCAGTACCGGTGTACCAACCGGCATTGACACAATACATATCGAACTGCCGTACCTACATATCAGTACACAGTACAGTGGAGCATTCCAACAAACTGATATATACCACCCACACCAATCCCTTGTCGAACCGGTATCTATCGGGCGATACGCTGAGGTACGGCGAATCTTGTTTTTTGCAAATATAGGTGCCTTGATATTTTATTTAATATCCATGCATATTTCATGTTAAAAGCCAATTACAAAATATATATCTTCTTCTCCCGCAGACATGGTATGAAAATCGCAGGGATCATGACTATCAGATTTTCAAAACCCTGGATATTGCAACCACGCGCTATTCAAAGTGTTTGATTGATATCTTTTCTGCTTCTTGTTTCCATGTTTAACCAATCTGAACATATTTGGTCCTTGTGTTTCAATTTTTCTTATATGATCTCATTTCTGTTCTTGCCGAAACTATAGCGGATTTTTCTTGACTCGATGACTCAGAAAATAAAATTAAAGTATCATTACTCATTGGATTCTGAGGTCCAATCCATGAAAAGTCCTTTTTATTTCTCAATTGCTTCTTAAATTTCTCATTCCAGTTTCAAAGAAGTCAGAGATAATACAAAAACTGAAAATTATATTTCCCTTAGAAACAAGGAAGACATGGCTAAAGTAATTGTTATTCACGAAAAAATGAATTTCCAAATTTGACAGGCGAAATATAACTATATAAGTAAACCCACTGGTGCCAATTTATATCACATCATCCACAAAGGTCGTCAACACAATCTATTTTGAGCAGTTGGTGAAGAACAAAACCTGAAGTTTTGCATATTATGAGGCCCTTGTTTCTTGAAAAACTCCTTTTTCAGTTAAGTCCAAAAAATCCAGTAGAAAAGGATGCACCACAAATGAAAGTGTAAGAATATTCCAATTAAAAATTTCTGGAACAAATGAAAGCATGTGAAAAGGAGGTGACAAGTATTTTATGTCATAAATTTATATGAGATCATAATAGCAAACGTGGTATGTGAACTAGTAGGTATGCACATGTAAACAGCATAATGTATGACTTACAGTTCCTTCTAGCATTTTCAGCAATGCCTGCTGAACACCTTCACCGGATACATCCCTACTAATATTTAGGCTCTCAGACTGCATATTGAACGTTTAACAAAATCACTATTAAGTTCTAAACAAACCTAGAGTTAGAAAAATCAGCCATTTAGCCATTAACCTTCTTAGTGATTTTGTCAACTTCATCAATGTAAACAATTCCCTGTTGAGCTGCCTGTACGTTAAAATCAGCAACCTAACCAATAAAAAGTACAAGCATGAAGAAAATTCACTTAACAAACTGTAAAGATGAGAATTAGAATCGTAACAACTAACAAAGTTATTTAGCTATTAAAATTGAGATCAATAAAAGGGGCTAAAAGATCATTAATGCATCAAGTATCATAAAATCAAAAGAAAGGAAAATGAGGAAATTTTATGGACAACAAAAGTCCATCATAATCATGGTTCATGAATGATTCACGAATCACGCTTCTCTCAAAAGATTCTTAAAACATATTGATCATCTTGACAAAAAACAAGAAAGTGAGATTTGTTGTTCTGGTTTGGATTATATATATATATATATATATATATATATATATATATATATATATATATATATAGGATTTTTAAACCCTTTCCTCCCCCTCTTTCATCCCCTTTCATTATCTCAAACTCTTAGAGTCTCTCAATCTCTTTCTCATCCACTTATTTCTCTTATTTTCACATTTACACTCTCTTAAAACTTCACAAAGCTACAATTTGTGGATTGGATCAAGCTTAGAAGGTTAATTAGTAAGAATTAACACCTAAGTTAGAGGAAGAACTTTCTAATTAAAGGTATATAGACTTCTTTTCAACCGCATTCAACAGCCCACTCGGTTTGGAGACATGGAAGCGATGTGGACAATAGTGCCTCAACTGACAACGCTAGGGAGTCAATGATCCCATCTACATAGTTTGGGAGTGGTGTATCGATCGAGGAGCAATATTTTATGCATGTTACTCAAGATCCATATCATGAAGCTCGACATGATAGTTGGTCATTCTTCTCCAAACAATAATACAGTGATAGTTGATTATTTTTCTCCGAGCAGCAATACAATGATCAATCTTATGATACAAAACAGCAGATCCGTGACAAAAGTAGAAGTTCTAACATTCTATGCTCCACACTAATATATGTCACATTGTACTTGCCTTAGGAGCCACCACGAACACGTGTGGTTCACGATAATCAAACTACGACCATAATCACATTGATGCATCAATGACATATGTTGTATCAATATACTATGTCGTGGGATCAATTTCAAAATTGGACCCGACAAACATATCAAATTGATATACAGATACATAAGATCAAGGACTCTAATCCACTGCCTGTGGAATCCCATCGTTCTTTTTGGTGATAGAACCAAGTATATCAATCGATCGATTAATTGATTCATTTGAATCTTAAAGTTTAAGTTGTTTAACAAATAATCTAACAATTCAAATCATTTCTTTGTAGATAATTCAATATCCACGAAAGGACGATCCGGAACATACCATAAAGCTACTCCTCAAACCTCAAAAAAGATCTATGCCACTATTCTTTCTTAATTTAGATTATTTTTGCTGAAATTGTACTAAATTTATATTTATTTCCAACTTCAAAATCCTAATCTAACTTTTCTATTAAAAAAAAAAAATTGGTGCTATTTTCGACCATTTTTCCGTATCATCGGTACGCCCCACCATATCGACACACGATACATCAATACTGAATGATACATACCATACTATCGTCTGATCAATACACCAGTTCAAATCGGTAAGGCGAACCTTGACTGTAGCACCACGGCTCATCCTCATTATTTTAAGTAAACCAAATTCAAATATGTAGCACTGGTTTTGATAGATTTTGCATGTCTAATTACTAATAGCCACTCTAGACTCTAGTTTCAGCTGCAAGAGAGCTTCAAAGAAAGGTAAAACAGCATTAACCTATTACACAAATAGAACTTTGTGCAAATAAGGCTTTCACAGAACTTACATCACAAGAAATATGAAGAAATTTGTTGATATTTAATTTTCTCATTTATTCAGACAGGAGAAAAGGTTCGGAGGAGTGGGGTTAGGATCAGTGAAGTTGGACTAACAGGCCAGGATTGGCTAAATATAGGGTAAAGAGAACACAGAGGGAAAGATCGAAGGAGAAAAAGGGCAAAGGGAAAGGAGGATGGCATCTTGACCATCTCCCTTCTCTTTGCCATTGTATTTTATTAGGTTTGACTGGTCAGGTTGACCTGCATCGAAATCTACCAAGCCTAACTCCTTGACCTGTTTAAAAGTTGACTAAAATCCAGCAACCATGCCCATCCAAATTGGAACCTAACAATTCCGAATGAAACTAAGATTCAATATGGTCCTTCCCAATCCAGAATGGTGTTGACTGATTCTAAGAACCATAATGATAATTTTGCAGTCTCTCATACAATTTCCTTTTGTGCTATGATAGTTTAAAAACAAATCATCATTCATGAGAAACCTATAGTCGCAGATGACTTAATGACCACTCCAAAAGCCAATAACTGGGGATATGAATCACAGCTGAAGTTCTACCTGCCTCTCACCTTATTTGTCACTCCAGAGGAAAGAATGTTATTTGCAAAGTTAGATTGTCTAATTGATTTGAGTTCATTTCTTCCTTTTATGATGTGTGATCAATCATCATTCTTATATTAATGTAGATGGTCCGTTTTTCTTAACACAGTCTCTGCCAACTTATAAAGTTACTAGACATTGCAATGTTACTCCCATCCAAAACTTTACCATCCTGGTCCATGAATAGAAAATATAATCAGTACAGCAAAGAGTTTTTACATTTTAAAGTTGCATTTGCATGTAACAGCATTGAATTGTAGGAATTGTCGTATAGAGACGCCCAAGTTGAGGCAAGAGGAAGATGGCGCAGCTATGATTGAGGTAACCCACATGCTGGACAAAAGGATGAAGCCTCATTAAGAAGGTTAACAAGCCATGTTCAGACATATGGCATCTCTAAGTCTCCTGTTATTAGCACACAGGTTTAGCATGCCCCAGAAGTAAATTTCTCAGGTATATGGACACTGGAATTGGAATATAACCGTGTTAGACAATATCAACTAGGCATGCAACTGCATTAGACATTATTCATTACAAACTCACTAAACATCAAACAAACTAAAAGGGTTAAGCAATGAAAAATATATTACTCCATGAGTTTAAAAATTATATGTTGAAGAATGAAAGATAATAATTTTCAATTAGTTTAATCATTATAGCTATGTACCAACTAGCACAAGAAAATACCGTAAGAAGCTTGTACAATATGGATTCAACGTCCTCCCCAACGTAGCCTGCCTGCAAAGGTAAAGTAAAAACAACAAAATCATGATAGCTGCCAAACACTAAGCCTCAACTGAAAAACAATAAAATCATAGATTGAAGAAAACTTAAAAAAACAATCTCACGATAGTGCTCTGCTTCTGTTTATAGAGACAGTAGGTGAAAAAATGGATTCAATAAAAAGACCTGCCTGTGTCAGTGTTGTTGCATCCGCAATAATGAAGGGCACATTCACAAAGCGAGCTAATGTTTTAGCAAGTAAAGTCTTCCCTGTCTTATAGAAAGCATGACTGAATAGGTCAGCTCACCAACCAATCAACTTAAGGGTAATATTCTGTAAGTTGATGATAGGTAGGACCTACCAAAAGCTCTCATGTGAACCATCCAATTAAACTTGAATAAAAAGTTAGATCATGTACCCGATCCAGTAGGTCCCATCAAGAGTATATTGCTTTTTTCCAGCTCCACATTATCATCATCATCACCTTCTGCATGGTTCTCCGAATCAACTCCAGCACTGGGCATTTGGAATATTCAATTCATTATGAGCCATCATGATGATAAGCAAGTTCTTACGACCTAGCAATAGAACTTAACTGTCTATGTGTTTAAAGTTAAAGAGACAGCATTAACAAGTTAATAAAACCAGAGATACAATAACTGAAAGCATCACTAACCTTTTCTGTAAGGAAGCATGATATATTCTTTTGTAGTGGTTGTAAACAGCCACAGAAAGCACCTGCAGTCGTTCTTTATGTTAAGAAATTACACTAGGCAAATAAAACCCAGACACCATGCAGCTCAAGCATCGAATCGCAAGATAGGCATTTCTTGTTGTTTAACTATCCAGGTAAATTATTTGATATAATCAACAAAGATGTTAATCACAAAAAAATCAATGTTTTGGTAAGAAATGTGGCATGAAATACAATATGAACTTTACTTGGCTCATGAAATACCATGACAGAACATCTCTTTTGCAAGATTTAACTATTGATCTGATATGAAGCTCATCACCGTGAATGTATTTGCAGTCATAGAAGAATTAAATTACTGAAGAACATCTTGAGGGTGTTCCAACATTTATGTAGATCCTAAATTTTCTTTTCTTCTATCTAAGCAGAATTTCTGACAAAATTCAATGAATGTCAGAGGAAAGATTTAACCAATTCAATGCCTGCTAAAACTTTAAAATAATGATGGTCTAAGGCGAGAGCCTGCATAACCAATATGGAAGACAACTACATAAGTCAAACTCATTATTGAACTGTTGAAGGTAGCCCCATAAAGTTTGGAATAGGATGCTTTTTGGAGAATACATGGAGATCAATTGCAGCTTCACAAAAAAAGTTTGGGATAGCATTAAGCAAAGAAACAAAGGTAAGGAACTTCTCGACAGATGTAATGGAGCTGTGGGGTGACTGGGTTGAGATGACTCTGAAGACTGAGATTCAGAGCACTTTCTTCATCCTGATTATAGCTATCTGGAGGCACGTCAGAAAGACAGAAACAGAAGAATGTTTGAATCTACAATCCAAATGGGGCAAAATTTCTTAAAGAGTATCAGATTGATCAAACTCAAAGAGTAACCAAATGTGGGCAAAAAGAACAATCTCCTAAAATGCGATGGGGTTAAATGTTATTGGCATGGTTTTAAATAAGGGTCCAACTATCGACTTCAACAACCTATTGGACTAGCACTGTATTTGATACATAGACTTGTACCGCCCAGCATTGCTGAATTAAATAATAAAAATATTAAAACTTATCAGTATACAAATTGGTGCCTGGCTGTGAGATCCACAACCACTAGTTGGTTAGACAACTAAATACAGACAAACATATACCAGTCTGACTGTTATTTTAAACCATGGTTATTAAAACACTTCAGAAGTCTTAGCTATTTTGGCTTAAGCATTTTGAAGTTAATATGAATTGAGATAGTAGAAGATCATGTGTCCTGATAAGCTTATCTGCAATTCTACTTGCAATTCACTTTATCTTTTACATTATAGAACATGCATAGCTTATTAGTAGATGCTGGCTAATCAACCCATCCTTTCATCAAACAAAAAGAAGAAGAAAGAAAATACACTGGTCTTTATATAGTATAAGGTGAAAGAGAAAAAAAACTGAAATTAGACAGAAGTAATTTTGTTATACTGAAATTTAAAAACATGAGCAGTAATCGGAAGTTCTGCAGAAAATTATCTGTCAGTTTACTAAGAACACAGGCTGGTTAAAACCATATCCATCTATAAACCAAATTATAACTAGTTATCGCAATATCTGCATGATTCAAAATCATGCTGCGCCAATAGGTAAAACTTGTTTGAGAATCACCAAAAAGCAAGATGAAAGAAACATAAAGCAAATCTATTTTACAGACCTGAAATCTATTCTACAGGCCCTAAAGATCCAGAGATCGTATGTCAATAAAACCGATAGAAATTATACCTTCTTTGCGTGCTCCTGCCCAATCACATACTTATCGAGCCCCTCATAGATCTCCTTGGGCGTCGGCATATCTTTCCCCAAATTTGACCCTCCCCACCCCTCCAAACCACCAAAGCCTCCCCCGCCGCCGGACTCATCTGTTCCCCTTTCCCCGCCAGGCCCAGCCACCCTCACCACGTTCGAATTCATAGGGAACGCCGAGCAGGGCGGTGGCTGCACCGCCGACCCGTGCACCTCCGGAGGGCCCGGTACGGCCGGCCAATTTTCCGGCGAATCTCCGCCGTAAAATGATCTAAGTGCCTTCCAAAACCGGTTCTTAGCCCGAATCCCGTTCTCCTCGCTTTCGCATCTATACTTCTCCGGATTGGGGCCTCGGACGCGGCCGATCTCCACAAAAGTGCCCTGGAGGGGAACGAGCTCATGAGGGCTAAAGGAGTAGGCGGTCTTGCATCTAGGGCATAAGTTTACGGCATGGCGCTCTGCGCCGTAGTCGCCACTTCCGTCGCCAGTGACAGTTGGCGAGAAACGGTTGGGGAAGAGGACCCTCATGTGCTTGGAGCAGCGAGGACAGTGAGCCTCGGCGCGGATGCGGCGTGTGTGGAACTCGTCGGCGCCACCGCCATCCCACTTGTGGCGATCGTGACGGAGGAGTCCGGGGCGGCGCGGGGCAGAGGAGGAGGCGTGAACGAGGCGGCGGCGGAGGGTGGAGATCGCGGAGCACTGGTGGAGGCGGTATCGGGTTTCGGCGGCGTTCCTGGCAGCGCGCGTCGCGGCGTCGCGAAGCTTCTTGCAGCGGAGGATTCCAGACATCGAAAAAAAGTGAGAATGAAAAAAAAAGAAAAATTGAAAAAGAGGGAAAGGAAATTAATTCAGACAGCGGAGGGGATCGAATTGATGTGGTCGAATTTGGGCGTGCGTGAAATGGTGCGCGCTTTTGTTCTGGATAGCAGCCACCCGAAAGTCTCACCTCTTCCCAACTCGCTGAATCATCGCCACAAGAAGGGGGCCCACGGATGATATATCAGAGAACCAACGGTGGGGAACGCATTATTAGTGTGGAACACCAAGGTTAATAATGGGGAGATTAGCTCAGTAAACGTTTAAGCCTCTTACCTTTGTTTGGACTGAGCCAGGTGAACCGCAACCGAGAAGAATCCTTGGGAACTACCACTACTACCAAATGGGACCGAGTCACCCTGAAGAACGTCAGGTTTTACGTGGCATAATATCCATCAAATTGTGATATGCCATGTCATCCCTGAAACTTTTCTTCCAGATTCCGTTTGAGGTGCCTATATGAAACTAGTATGTGTTCATCGATTTCTAGGACGAATGATGATCTAATGAAAGATTAGACTCCGTTCCGGATGTAATCCGAGCTTTGTTATGTACAATGGATGACATTCGAGGTTGTCAAAAGTCCAATCTTAGCAAACCGACGAATTCGGGATGTGATCATGTAAAACAAATTACGTATGAATGAAATCGATAAAATATATTTCAAATGGCAAGCTATAGACTAAAACACATAATATAGTTTCATTTTTGTGATTGTAAGTTAGAGTACCATCAATAGTGAGTTAGCATGATTTAGTTGAAGATACGAGGTTATCCAAGAAACTCTATAGTTATCCTACAAGGCTAATCCTGTTATGATCTTGGGTGACTTTTGAGTGTTCGAGATGATCTTAATATTTGACTAAGATGAAATCCAACTCTTTAGTATGTTCTTATATAAAGGTCATTGTCGGAAGGAATTCCTCGATCCGACCCTTTCGACACTCAAGTCGTTATGAGGTTTGTAATATAAAAAGATAATTTTTAAATAGAGATTTGACTCCTAAGTCGATATGGGAGTTGACTTTTATACCTAACTAATTGAGAGAATCTTTTATAATAGCCTTAACTTCTTCTATTTCATATTATTTTCTTGCCGATGTTATTGCTGAATAAGGGTGATGACTCGACCCTTTTCTTATACATCAGTGATACCATGGTGTCCAACTGAACAAAGATTGATTGTCAAATTATTTATTATCAACTTCCCTCATAGTTCCACTTTCCTAAAATATATGATTTGAGCTACAAAGTGGCTACCTGACGAAAGGTTGGTTGTCTTGCCAGCCCAGTTCATGCCTTGGGCAAACCAAGCCGTGGAGCCCTTTCAACTGTGATAGAAAATAAAGTGGTTTGAGGAACAAAGAAGATGTCATGATCGCAGCAAAAAGGCATGGCTAATGGTGACTTTATCACCAGTAATCATGCTTTCAGTTCTCAAGGAACCTGCTTTATACCTGTGTCTCCATCTACTTTGATTTGGATATACCTGCAGATTCTCTTGATATCATCCCTATGCTTTTTCGTGGAATACAGGAGAAACGAAATGGAGTTCATATGTGTTTCTCCCCCTTGTTCATTTTCTACAGATTTATTTGCATTTTGCTTTGGAAACATGGAAAGGGAGAGAAAAAAATGAAGAGTAAATTCCAGAGATGCATAAGATCTGTAAACTCAGGTTTCTTGGAAAAAGGAAGAGGAGAAAGAAACAAAGACACATGACTCTGTCTGCCAAACTAATCAACTTACACCACCTTGTCAATTTAGATGTCAAGAGGAAATCCCAGGACAGCAGCATATGGAAGGGTTGATGGTTATGTCATGCTACCACCTACCTCAAGACTCTGTCAAAGAGAAGATCTCCAGAGTGACATGTACGAGGGACCATGGCAGTGGCATGCTACCACCCAATTAGAACTCTAACATCCACATTCCAAGTGTGAGACATAAACCAAATAGAGAAGAACAGTTTGGCTCGGTGAGAGGGGAGCCAGCTGCAGCAGTCATTCGAGCTGGAGAGGGGTCTTCTTGGCCAAGTTGTGCTTGTTGTTGTGCATCCACACCTTGAGGACTCTCCTCTTCACCCCGATCTCCTGGCAGAACTGCTGCACCGCGCTCTCTTCCTGCTTCTGAAGCCGCCAGCCCGCCTTCTCTGCGAAGTGAAGCATCTTCTCCTTCTGCTCTGCAGTGAACTTGGTCCTGAACCTCTTCTTCACCAAGGGTGGCCTCGCCATCATCCCACCACCCGCCCCCTCCATCTCATCGGACTCAGATGTCTGCATGGCACCCAGGGGCATGATCATGTGAGGTGGTGGCCTCGGAATGAGGCTGTTGCTGCCGGGGTTGTAGCCAAATGGATCTGCCCCTGAGATCAGGAGGCCTCTCTGGCCTATTACTTTCCGTCCCTTGAAGGGGTGGTAGCAGTCGTAAGAGGACTCCCCTTCTACTTCTTTCCGGTGGAAGTTCCTGTGGCAGTTGCAGGCGGAGCACTTCAAGGCTTCCAGAGTCCCCTCCTCGCCGCTGGGCATGAACTCACCGCAACCATCAGTGGCATTCCCACCAATGGCGGCTGCATGGTTCTTGAGGCACTCCCTGTACTTCACCACCAGCCCTTTCTTGGTGCTGTACGGATTGGTGCTGTGGTGGTGGTCCTCGGTGGTGGCTGCGGAGAGGGGGGGAGGAGGAGCAGCAGCAGCGGCAGCGGGAGGAGGGGAAGAGCCACTGGAGCGGTGGTGGAGGGGAGAGGTGTCATGGGTCATGCCGTGGCCATGGGGTGGACCATGGCCAACAACATAAGTGCTTGTTATTGGGATTGGGATTGGGATATCCCCGTCATGACCAGAAAGATCCATCCTCTCTCTCTCTCTCTCTCTCTCAATCTCCGCGCTCTCTCTTCCTCTTCCTTTAACTGTTCTTTTTTGGCCTGCACACCAAAAGCAAAAGGTCAAGGACAAGAAGGAATTAGAAGCAGACCACCCCAAGTGATCAAATGCATGAGCTAAGGTTTTTAAGGCTGAGATCCTTGGGACTCTAAATGAAACAATAATGAACCAACTTGTCCACCTTCTGAAGTCTCGGTAGAAAGGAACAGGAAAATTAGCTCTGAGACCACTATACAACCTTATACTGGTACTTGCTCCTGTACCTCTTTCCCCACATTGAAGGCCCAAGAGTGGTGGAAGACAGTAAAAAGAAAACATAGTCTGAACACAGAGTAAATTCCACATTTTTGGGGCTTTCTTTCCACAAACACTAGGAAAATACATCAAAGCATCACAGGAACTTGAAATGAGCAGTTTGACTTGGTAAGAAATTTCATCTCTAGCACACAAGAATTAGTGGTAGATCTGTTCCAAAGAAGGACAGTGGTCAATGAGAGCAAGGAGTCTTTGTTAGCTAGAGAACATAAATCATGAATTTTGGTTTTCAAGAAGGTAAATTTGTGGACTTTAGATTCAAGAACTATTGATCTCATTGTTGTGTGTGTGGAAACTAGAACTTCATCCTGGGTTTCAAATGCCTATTTCATTGCCTCATAGGGACAGCATAAGAGATGAACAAAATATAGCAAATCTATGTGAGATTATCGGAGAGATGTAACCAAAATGGTGGGCAAGCCAAGACTACAAAAACCCACCTTTCTCTCCTGTGAACTGAGAGAGGAACAGGCTGCAGGGTGGTGGAGAATAGTCGCAAAGCTAAACCAGAAGTAAGCTCTTCTTGGCAACGTTCATGGCTCATAGGAAGAAATGGAATTATCCAAAGAACTCCCTGTTGGTATTATCCATGAGAAGTTTCACAGGAAGAGCTTAGAGAGGAGGGGGGGAGTAAACAAAGATGAGCATCAGGAAGAAACAAAATGAGAGGTTTGGTAGAAGGGCTGCGGTTGTGTGAGACTAAACAAGAGGTTTATAGCAGTAGTGAGGGAGCATAAAGGTTGGGAAAAGATGAAGAGAGAGAGAGAGGAGAGGATGAAGAAGAAGAAATTTTACAGGACAAAGAGGGAAAAACACAGAATTTTAGAAGCTTATGACCAAACAAAAGTAAAGCGTGGGATGTTTGCTTTGCTTGCACTATCAGGAATCAAGCTTACGCCATAGAAGATAGATGGAGAGAGAGAGAGAGAGAGAGAGAGAGAGAGAGAGAGAGAGAGGGGA